CCCGCCGATTTTCCGTGCATTTCCGGCTTCTGCCTTTTGGCTGTGAAAGCTGCAAACTCGCAACAGCGGCAAGGAAGCTGTCGCAAGCAATAGGAGACGAATGACCTGAAACGGAATTAAGTATGACTGGCCATGTAAATTGCAAACTGTGTTCATGTGCATCCATGTGCGCCACAAACGCCCACAGCCTGCTAAAAGCGATTTCCGTCAAATTTCCTCAAAAGTGTACATTGACGTTTTTCTTCTGCATGTACGGAAATTTCAGCACTTTTGGAGGGTTCAGGTATTTCGGGCTTCAACCGTCTCACGTAGAGCGTCCGTTGTCTTTGGCTTGCAATATTTCGGGCGTCACCCGTCTCACATAGAGCGTCCGTTGTCTTTTGCGTCCGCGTCCGTCTCACGTAGACCGTCCGTTGTCTTTTGCGTCCGCGTCCGTCTCACGTAGATTGCCCGTTGTCTTCAGTCGGCTTTGTCTGCGTGCTCGCTTGCTTGTCCTCTGCTGCATGGTTGGTGGTGGTGGTCGGTCGGTGCCAGTGCGTGCGCAGCTCTTGACTTGTGCAGTTGCAAGGTGGCTCAGACACAGGCTATCCGACTTACCAAGCATGCCCTTCGGCCATTTCACTGACCGGGAACTGGAGCTGGTTCGAGCTTTCAAGATTGAAGGGCGGCGCCCTGCGGAGATTGCGGAGCTGCTGGGGTGGCACATTTCCACGATCGTCCGGCACTTCCAGCGGCTGTCCCGGGGCCGGGCTGCCAAGCGGCAGCCCACAGGACGACCGCCCAGCCTGACTCAGCGCAGCGGCTTGTGAAAGAAGCCAAAGCTCAGTGGCAGGTCACGGCTGCCATGGTGCGACAGGCGCTGCGGCTGAAATGCTCTGTCAAGACCATCCGCAAAGTTCTGCATGAGCGCGGGATCACCTTTCGACCAATGCGCCAGAAGCCGCTGCGCACTACGGCTGATGAGCACACCCGACTGGAGGGCGTCAACCTCGCCATTGTCGGCGTCCCAGGCAGCGGCAAAAGCATGCTCCTTGAGCCCTTGGACGGCATCTTTCAGGTCATGGGGAAACCTGAAGCCCGGAGCTCCTTCCCTTTGGCCGGTGTGTTGCTGTGGCAAGACTACAAGCACCAGGATCAGACTGTCCTTTTTGAGGACTTGCTCTCCCTCACCGTTGGGGAAATGATCTCAGTCCGAGTGCCACACCAAAAGAACCAGACCTTCCGCAACGTCGCGCCCCACCTCCAACTTTGGTTGGAGGTGCGCCGGCCTGACTTGGACGAGACCACGCGCTTGAACCAAGCCATGGCCGAGCGCTTCTGCACGCGTCAGTGGAAGCTGCCGTTGCCAGAAGCCGAGTGGATCCCAGACCTGCCTCGATGCTCGCGGTGCTGCGCCGCGTACCTTGCCAACAGCGCAGGGGGTTAGTTTTGACCAGACCGCTTCGTGTAGAAAACAAGCTTCCAGCCTTGCTTTGCACTTGTGACTGCTCCACCCCAGACTGTGGAAGCCCTAAATATTGCAAGTACCACCACGCTGGATGTTGACACCACTTCTATGGCATCGCCCGCTGCCTGCGGACCCCGCACCCCCAGGTACAATGTTGAAGCCAAGTGCGTAGCCCCTCTTCCGAGGCCCAACATATTGCAAGTTCAACATTGAATCAGGGGAGGGGGGGGCCGCAGATGTCATGTTGCTGTGCTTCCTGTTGTGACAGGTGCCATATTTCTTTGCTCCGCACTTGCAATATTTCGTATGGCTCCAAATTAGCACTTAAGTTAAAGAAATCAGCAAAGGGTATAGTATCCAAATAGCAACATTGTTTTTGATTTTGAGTGGATGTTTCTGTGTTTGCTGTGCACCGGCTTGGAGGGTGTTTCCATTGTCCCCATTGAATGGCGTAGTCACATGCAAATGGGCGCGTGTCTTGTTTGGAGTTCTGTTTGTTTCGGTTGTTGAATTCAAAAGAAGCAAACCAACGTCAGAGGAGCAGGAATTGGATCCCTCAAGTGATTGACCTCGATTTTCGGTCACCCCCGAAGCTGAGGCCTTTGGGGATTCTTATTGCCAATCAAGTAGGGCCTCAAAAGAGATGATCTCTGAGTTCGCCATTTGTGTACTAGAGGTGCGGGCAGAGCGTGCTGTTTAGGGTGCTGGCCGCTGTACGTGTGCGCGTGTGAGAGGGAAAGAGGTAAAGAGGGTGTATGTGTGTGTGTTTTCTTTTTGGCACTGCCTTGATGCTGAGCTCTGGTTTCGACGACCGGATGCTGGTCAGAGGTCGGAGGTGCTGATCTGGAGGCTACTCCGATTGATGGTGTTGAGGGCTGCTGTGAGTGCTGGCTTGATGGTGTTGCAGCTGCGAATGCATTGCACGCCGGCTCCTTCGCTGCACGGCCGTTCTGCGAAGGCATTCCTGGGATCTGGACTTTGCAAAGAACTGTTTGATAGATGAGGATTGTGCTTGGGGAACGAGATGCGAGTGAGAGCGAATGTTGGATTTGGGCTGCTTCAAGAGGCGGGAGCCCAGGGTGTCCATGACAGCTTTCAATGCGGCAGGGCGGCTCTCCAGCCCTTTATGACGCCCCCCTAGTTTCAGGACTGCAGCAGGATGGATGTAATTCTATGGCTGAGTTTTTTGGGGGCTTAAGCATGGCTGATGCAGGCTTACCAATAGAATTGTGCTGGAGCCACCTTTCCACCGCAAGCTTCTCATATCCTTTTCGGCGGGTCCTCTACCAGGGGACGCCTGCAAAACACGTTGCCGGCGCGAAAAGCCGGCTGCTTTTCAGAGTCCTTTGCCTAAGGGATCCCCAAAATTGCCATTTGCCTGGGTGAATTATAACCACCTCACACGACCGAAGTCACCCCAAATGGTGGTTTATGTTGGGAATAGCCCCCCAACCATCTTATTTCAGGTTGGTGCAATATTATAATTCACTCAGATTTGCCACTGCAGTTCAATGCGACTCCACAACTGGCATGTGTTGCACCATCTACTAGTGCACGCATGCCCAACAGTTAGCCCTATTCGTCAGCAGGGAGGCTCACTATGATCTTGACGAAGGGAGGCTGCAGCGATAAAGAGCCCCGAAAACGGCGTGGAACATATTATGTATTTGGCCTTGTTCAAAGTCGCATCCTAGCACGTTGGGAGAGGTGTTTTTGGTGTGTTTTGGCCTTGTGTTGTGACTCAATGCTGTTTGTTGGACTGGATTTGCATGGCTGCTGGTGATGGTTCCCAATCGAAGCACTAAACACTAGTCGTTTGAGCAACAATTGGGGTTGCTCAAACAACTAGTGTTTAGTGCTTCGAGGAAAAACAAACAAAAACCGGAGAGACTGCGATAGTATGAGGGACAACGAAAGGCGTGAGCTCATCGATGATTGCGAGTTTTCTGACGTGGTTTTCCCGAAGCGCACCGGGTGCGCTTTTGGCCGGTTTTGGCCCCTTCTTGTGCCTACGGCAAAACACATCCTAACAAGGAGAGGTGGACTTCGTCGTGGGAACCTATGGGTAGCGCTAGAGCCCGGTGGCCGCCCTCCAATTCGAAATTATGCGATTTGCTCCCATTTCCGCTTTCCCTGGCACTCAGTTTGCTAGCGAGGAGCTCCAGCATTTCGTCACCAAGAACAACACCTGCCTCCTCGCCAACAGCGCCGGGGGCGGTGCCTTGGCTTGGCGGTTGAGCCCATGGTTCGCTGAGGAGGGAGGGCGGAAATTGCAGGTATCGCCTTTAAAAGCCGACCAAGGGCCCAGAACGGGGGCCATATCCCAGGGGGAGTGTTTTTCTTTTGCCGACTTCCAGACCGTGGCGGTGTGTGTTTTTTGAGGATGCCCTTTCTGACGTGGCTCAAGGGAAACCAAAAGGAAGATTGATCACACTACATCACCTTCAAAGTTCCCGGATGCAGCTTTTGAAGGGAAGCCAATCCGAGGGTCTTTTTGCCACCATTGGCGGAAAAATGATCGACCCCCTTGTAGTGAAGTATTCCTTGTTGAGGGGGTCGCCAATTTTCGCACAAAAGTTGCAAAAAGACCCCCTGAACTCCCTTAGCTTGACGATCGCAACGTTCCAAAATCCCTTAGTTTGACAATAGCCAACGTTGGAAGCCAATCCAAGAACGTTCAAGAATCCCGTTCAAGAATCCATCGCCAAGGCTGGCTTCAGGTGCAGAACCAGCCGGGCATTAGCTTGCTGCGCGCGGTGCCAGAGAAGCGGCTCCACGGGCCCGCAGCGGAGGCCAACTTTGGGCGCGCCGCCAGCGGTCAATCCGTGGCCGCCTGGAGAACGCAGATGGGGACGTCGTATCCGAGTTCAGTTGCCGGGTGCATTGAAGGCCAGTTTTGTTGGACCCTTTCCAATCCACCAGAAAAAGGCTGATCCCTAGGAGCCCAGGACCTCAAATATCGAGGCCTTGGGGGGTTCACGGCCCTCATATTTAGGATCCTGTGCTCCTAGGGGCAGATTTAAAGTAAAGGAGGCTGAAGTTTGATGGGCCATGGTCGTAAGCTCGCTGCCCACCTCGGAAGCTCCTTGCCAAATGGAGCCCGGAGCCTCATACCCAAGTTCTTACCATGGCCCATGGGTGTCAAGTCCGAAAACTGGGGTCACCTCTTTCTCGGCCATACGCAACCAGCTGGGCTCAGAAGGACTTGTCTTCATGGGATTTTCAGTCCAGGGATGCTTCCACTCGCGCGGCTGGCGTCACAACGACAAAAGGCTCCTCCCCTCGAATGGAGATTGGAGGATGCAGGGCGCGAACATGTCTGCACAGGGGTTTCTTTGCCTACGCTTTGGCACTCCTGCAGATGAGCATGGAATCGAAAAGTGCCCGCCTCCCCTCCCCCCCAACATGAAGTGCCGCTAAGCAAGGGTAGTAGAAGCCCCTGCAGAACAGATACTGGGCCAACATGTATTTGTCTTGCAGTCCACAACTCAACCTGCAAGAGAGTAGCCCGCTTGAGGTGGCACTCCGGCACGCAGCGCTGGCGCTAGAACTCCTGAAAAACCGACGCTTCGGCCCTGCAGTTTTGAGATCTGGTGGGCATTGCCGCGTTGAAGAAGTTTTGGGCAGTTTGCTTGAAGCTATGTTTGTGTGCAATGGAGACATTTGGTGAGAACATGACAGGGTCCTTATGTTTCATATATTTGGTTAGCATGTCGGTTTCCTCAAGGGAGTTTATGCGTCGCATGGCCTATAAAATCAGAACCTCTGCGGTTTGGCCACGGCATGCTTGTCACTCCCGGCCAGATGAAACCTCAGGTTCGATCATTCCAATCAGCGAAAACACGCGGGGCTGCACACAGCGCCTGTTCGTCCGAAATGTGCTGCGAGAGCCGTTGGCTATGTGCAGAAATGTGGTGCCAGTTTGTTTGCAATTTAAGCCCCGTTCGAGTGCGCAGCTTTGATGCCCCAAGAGTCCTGACCTTTTGGATGGATTCATGGGACACATTGTGAAATGTCCCGACCTTGGCATCAGTGTGTTTGGGAAGACAGTCCTTTTGAGTTGGTAAGCAGTGATTGCCATGTGCTGCTGACATGCTTACTTAATCAGCGAAGTTGATTATACAACACGGTGGGCGGAGGATCAAGTCAGCCTTGACAACCGGGAAAAGCTACACACAGCAGCCTGTCTCTAGGGTCTCAGGTTTTTAGCTATGGGTGTTGATCAAAACGAAGGACCAGGGGGACCGGAGATTTTGATCATTGTTTCCTTTAACTCCTGGGGTTTGTCCATGGCGTCCCCAATTTTTGCCTTCACCGCTCTGCCTCGCCTCAGGAACGCCGCCCTTTGACGGTCTCACCCGTCGAGTTCGCTACGCGTTCCCACCGCAACCGGTGCCGCCTGACACCACTTGCGATGTGACGCGGTTCAGCTTGTGCCCAAGAAGAGTTCTTTTCAAAATAGGGAAACCGCCACACCGACAAAAAGAACTTGTTTTCCTTGAGTTGAAGCTACCCCAAAATGAGTACCCTTGACTTGGTTGACTTGTTTCGACCTGCTGGAGCTTAGGGACAAGCAAGTGATCACCTGATGGCAATGCTCCCACAACAGAACGAGCCAATGAGCAAGCGGGAGGGTTCCAATCCCTGGGCACTCGTGAGCCTTTTGTCTGTTCACTCGTCTTTGCATCGATCGAGAGAGTTGTGCAGTTGGTCGCTCTCTCTTTGTACGACTGCCGTGCGTCGCAGCCATGCAAAACCGACGAACAGAGACAGCAAGCCGTGGAAACCATCGCCAAGTGCCTCCGGGGGCACCAGGCAAGAGAACCATCCCATCCCTGTGACTTTCTTTCGTCCGAAAGATAAGGAACACCAGGTTAGATGCCCCAGGTCAAGATGCATATCCGTAAAGTTAATGGCTTTCCTTCGCAAGTGTTGTCCCATTGCCATGTTTTTCGTGAACCTTTGTCCACCTCTTTGTTCACCTTTGTTGTCAACCTTGCTCTTATTGTATTTGGTGGTCGTTTCCTTTTCCCCTCTTTCATTTAAAAACAAAAGCAGTTAAACAAAAAACAGTTCTCCCCGAAATTCCCCGCAAACAACCCGCCTGCAGCTCCCGCTCTCCCAACGCGGGTTCCGCCGGTTCCTCGCTCGCTCGCCGCTCGCTCGGCTCGGCTCGCTCGGCCGAACGGGGTTCGTTCGCTCGGATCGGACGCGAAGCCGAGGAAGGAGTCGGTGCTGCCGCTGGTGCCGCTGAAGGGCCTGCCGCAGCGCCCGCTGAGCCCGCAGCAGCCCCCGCCCTGGCCCCAGTTCTTGACGCCGGAGGAAGCCTCCGCGGCTCGGCGAAGAAGCCAAACGGACGCTTGAGACGTGTCTGTTGGTTTCAGGCCAAAATGGCCGAAAAGGGGCAGTTCCGGTTGGTTTCCCTTTCAAACCAAGCAAAAAGGCGGAACCCTCGGAGAAAGACAGACCCTTATAAGGTTGGTGTAGAAGTCTGACTCTGGGCACAAAGTCTGTGGGGGTGGGGGACTCCAAATCTTGTTCGAACTCTTGGGATCCCACGGGGGCAATTTGTGCATGCACGCTGCACGACCTCGTGAGGTTTCTTTGCGAATGGTTTTAGATCCCTGAATCAGTCTAATACAGCCAATCAAGTACGGGTGGGTCTTGAGTCCAGCGGTATGACCTACTATGTTTGCATCGAACTTTTGCCAATTGAAGCAGAGGCACCCCCCATTTTGGCATAGTGATTTTGTGGATGGTGAAACGTCCACCAGGCGTTCGGGCAATTTGCTGGTGAGCAAACCAGATGATGACTCGCAAAAGATAGCCCAATTGGGCTGTTGGGCTTGTAAGCGCTTAGGCTGCGAACCACTCATTTGGCTGTGGGTCAACACCAATGGTACCATTGGGTAGGTGTATTCACCACCCATTTTACCCTAATTTAGTGGTTGGATTCGGATGTTCACTGGGGGCACGATTTGGATTTTGACCCATGGCCATTTGGCTGTGCGTCAAAAATCGGTTCCCCAAATGGAACCCTGGTAAGTGGAAACATGCATTTCCTGGTGGTTTAATTTTGACCCATACCCATTTGGCACACCAAAGGCTTCCGAAGCCGTTTGACAGGAGCCTCGTTGGGCGGAGCCCTCTTCGCCCTCTTCGCCCTCTTCGGCCCGCCCGTCCAGCCGGGCCAGACCAGACACAGGAGGGGATGGAACGGCTACCTGCGGATGTTTTTGTATGAGTGAATCTTGAGAGGATATGATCGCCTTGTTTGTGTATACCTGTAATATGTGTAGACATGTAATATGTGTATATATGTAAGTATGTCATACTGCAGGAGGCACAGTGCGGTGTAACTTTGTCACGTGCACAGCTTTTGTGACAAATTGGGATATGTGATTCCAGACCGCTTATCGACTTCTTGTACTTTGCGTTGAAGATAGACATGACTAAGGGTTGTGGTTTTGTGCCTTATCCCAGAAGCGGCAAATCGACTACGTGCGTGAACTATGTTTCTTGTCTAACCTTGGCTTTGATGGATGGAGGTTCTTGGTCTGATGACAGGACTATGGCTGTGAACATCTGTGAACGATGAATCCACAGCTCCTGCTTCAAGTTGCTCTGGAATCATGGGACTCAAAGTTTGCATTTGTGTCAACTCGGATATTACGTGTGTAATTGCTTTGTTGGCGGCTGCGTAGCATAATTGAGTCAGGGCGGTTCATGCCATCGGATCGAACAAGCGGTAAGCAACCACCTGGCGTAAATATATTGAGCAGCAGTCAGGAGCATATAGCATGTTGATATGTGTGTTGTTGTGAGGATGTCAAAAGTGATCTTGCTTCAGCATTCGCAACCCGAGTGTTGGCGATAGAGTGTTATTGCTGATTATGAACGCAGCATCATCATACTCTAGGAACGTCCCAGCAACTAAAGCTGGCTACTGCAACTTGGTGCAGTCCCTTGCCCTGTAAACCTGCTGAACGCACTCCGGTTTCTTTGCACAGTCGTCAGAGCAAGTTCCAAGGAGACTCTACAACAGCGCGCTCGGCTAGATTGGAGGCAGGTGCCGTCCGAGCGCTGACTGGCCCAGGAAATGCGGCAGTTGCTAGCTCGAATTGCTCACCGGCTTTGACTTCTCAATCAAGATCCTTTTCAAAACACAGTGACAGGCAGTTGCAGGTTTACAAATCTTTTTGTCTTTCTGTTTGTTTTTGTGGCCCAACCTTGAAAGCCGGGCAGCCGGGCCATTTTTGGGGCCGCATTTTGCCCACGCAGCGCCGCCGCCTTTTGCGGCCTAAAAACGTCAGGCCTTGGTCACCTCCCGCGCCTCCGCCTCCGAGCGCTGCGCGGAGTCCGCCAGGTGGGATGTTCGGGCGAGGGCGGGTGGCAGGACGGCATACATGGTTGTCCTTGGGAAACATTTGAACCATTTTTGCTTATTGTCTCACTTCCTGAGTTCATGAACTTTAGACTTTTTGGGAAGACCATTCTAGTGGAAAACGTAAAGTTTGGACTTTTTTTGGGCCATCCACTCAGCCGGTGAGTTGTGGTTTAGTGGTTGAAATCCAGCCACTTAATTGCTAAACAATATTAAATTTTGCTCCCCTTCCAACGTCAACCAAGCATAATATGGTATAGCTCAAAATTCAACTGGGGTGACGCAGGTAGTCTACCTTTCCATTTGCCAGGGTTCCATTTTGGACCACCATTTTTGAGCCACACCCACGTTGGGGGATTGGGATGAGTTTAGGGGATTGGGATGGAATGTTCACTGGAAAATTGGGATTGAGATTGGTATTTTCCTGTGGATTGATGGATGTTCAGTGCTCAAAACCTGGGTAGATGGAGGTTAGTTGATTGGAGACTCCGAGCCGAAAAAACATGCTGCGGATATCCGGCTTCTTAATTCTTGAAGCATGGTTCTGGGTAGAGCATTTTAATGCCAGGTTTTGATTAGGACTTACATGGTTGTTGTTGGGAAACATTGTACACTTTTGGCTCATTTGTGGTTTAGTGGCTGAATTCCTTCACAACACTGCTAAAGTTTAAATGTTTGCTCCCCTTCCAACGTAAACCGTGCAGATGGCTTGAGACATTTGCGAAGGTCTGGAAGTGGAAGCCGCGGTTGTGAATTGTGATGTTGGGAGCTGAAGGAAGAAGGAGCTTGCTTCTATCGGTTGGCCGGTCTAGATAGAGGATGTTGAATGTGTGTGTGTGTGTGTTTCTTGTATTGGAATGGTTCTGCTTCAGGATAGATGGCCGTCCGAGGTGTTGGCCTAAAGAATCATCGAGTCCTCAGATTTGCCGGCAGTAGAGCGCCGTTTTTGGCCACAGTGTTGGATTACAAATGTGTATGGTCATTGTGGCCGGCAGAATGTGAAATGACCATAATAGGCATAGCATGTCTTGTGAGCGGGGCGGAGGCTAGGTCAGGCAGGCCCAGCTCACTTTTGTCACTTGTCCTTGTAAAGCTTTCAGCTTGTAGTCTCACCTAGCAGTGTAGCAAGTTCCTGTAGCCGTAGCCGACACGCACACGGAGACAAACCCATCGCATCATAGCCACTTGCCCATACCGGGCTGGCAAATGATGCGTTAGAAGAACAAACCCAATGTGACAGTTCGAACCTCACAAGAACGCCGAGGCAACACCCGGCAGTGTGCGAGGTGCTGTAGGAAAACAAGATCCATTGCGCATGGCGTACGCCTGCATCCAGAGAAAAATGGTAGTCGCATTCACAATGACATAGAAAGAGGTAATTGTAAACGCTTCGTGTTGCCCGCCTCGTCAAGTATGGTTTTGGCTGGCTTTGAGGTACAGTGTTTTGGTTTGCCTCAGAGATTTGCTTCAGAGGGGCTTGAGGCAGCTGGAACATGGGTTTGGGTCGCGTGACATGGGAGCGGAGCTAGGGAGTAAAATCCCATGAATCTTGTGGGGAGTCAGAAGTTCCACGCGAAAAAATAATCTATCTGTATTGCTTCCATTCGCGGCTGGCCGTTGGGTCGTTTCCAGCCTCAGTTACCCAGTTGCCACCAACATCCCGTGGAACATCGACCAGGGTTGCAGTGAGGCAAGCATCATCTTCCAGAACTTGACAGGACACATGTCAACGACCGTGGCTTACCTGCCACCAACCACGACTGCATTGCTGCGGTACTGATCTTGAGGGTTCCCGATCCGTTTTTCTGCCCGGCTGCCTGCGTCCGCCCTTAAACAGCTAGTTGGCACGCGTAAGGGTGCATTGCTCGATGGTTCAGTGCCGCAAGGGCTTGGCGGGAGAGTTGCTACGAGAACATTGTGGAGGAAGATGAGGAGAAGCGCCTCCCGCAAGCTCAGTCAGTGCCCTGGCGTATTCTACGTGCATTCTTCAAGTTCCCTCGCGTTGCACTTCATGTTTGTGATTGGTTCAAGGTCTAAACTTGCAAGCTCAGGTCTTTCTTTCAATTGCCCACAGTGGGGAAATTCAGAAGTTGTTTTTTTCTGATTGTGCCAAGGCGAGAAATTGGTGCGATTGCATTTAAGCAAGACAACTCGAAATGCTGATGGCTTGCCTGCAGGTTACAATGCATCATCAGAAAACCTTCGAAGTATAGGGGTTTTACGGTTTGGGTGGCTTGAGTTTGCGAGATATATAGCTACGATGCAGCCGGTAGGGTTGTGTAGGGTTTAGGGTGTTAAAGGTTTCAGTTCAAGGATCTTCAGAGTTGGACTTTTTAGGGTGCGGACATTCGAGTAACACCGCCTGTGTTTCGGGTGTTTTGAGGCTTGTCTAGCACACAGGCAACGGACTTCGGCGCGCGCAAGCACGCGGAAGGGGTGGCGGAAGGGATCTAGTTCGCGGACGGTTTGCGGAAGCTTTGTGGTTTGACGCGATCTGTTTCAGTTTGTGTGCATGGAAAAGCAGGGATTTCGCGGAAGGTGTGCGGAAGGACACAAGCTGCACCACAGGCGGAACATGACTTTCCTTTCTTAAGGCGCGCGCAGCGGAAGGTTTGCGCAAGCAAACGATGAAAGGCATCCACGGAAGCCCGAAGCAACCTCTTGGCCCGGGGATCCGTGAATAATCATGTCCAATCAAGTGTAAGGGAAACCCAAAAACCAACGCTCCCATGATTTCCTCGAAAAGAGTGCTGCCAGTTCCTGATTTTGATCAGCAACCGACTAGGGTGGAAAATTGAGAGGGGCCTTTACTTGTTCGCCAGGTGATATACACGGGGATGATGCTACTTGACCATGCATGAGAAGATATGGTTTTGAACGGTGTTCGGAAGATTGCCACTACATCCTGCAGCCACTTCCGAGCTGATGGCAAGTACATTTGTTTGGTACTTGTTTGGCTGCTAGTCTCGCATCATTTTTTCAGGTGTCAGTGTGTGCCTTTACTTTGGTTGATGAAGCGACCCTGTTACAAAATCGAAGAGCTGTCAGGCTTTGAAACAATATTTGCCATGGCAAGCCAGTATATGTTTTGAGAGGCAGACTGCCAATTGGAGATCGCGAGTTGGCATGTTGCAAGTTCAACCCGGTATGACAAGCAGGGACATGAGCTTGCGATGTGTTGGGTTGCAACTGTACTTGGAATACCGGGCACATCCGGGCACAAAGCGCTGATCAAGCGCGCGAGTGAGGTGATGCAGAAAGGCTTCCACGCTCTGATGGAGTTCCTGGATTTTACCAATCGACGCTATGGCAACCCTGCGAGGTCCGACTTTTGTCACGCAGATTGAAATCGACGTTTTCTCCAAATGGCCGCAAACTGCATGAATGTATACGCATATATAATTATATGTTGTATACTACTGCTCGCCCGCAAACACCAGCAAGACCGTCACAACATGCATTCAACTGATTGTATTACGTAGTATCCCTAATAAAAATGGCACCCAAGCCCTCAGAAGCAAGCCGGTTTCGACATCTTTTGGTGGCCTCTGCAAGTTGCCAGCCGGTCCCTCACTGCAACTCGACACGCCTTCATTGGCATTTGACATCTGATTTGGGCCGAGCCCTCCCCCTGTTTCTGCCCCTTGGCGCTAGTCTGCATCAGTTTCGCTCTTTCTCATGCCAGAGAGAGAAAGAGTTAGAGAGAGAGAGAAAGAGACAGAGAAAGATAAAGAGGCAGAGAAAGAGAACGAGAAAGAAGCAGTTTCTGCGCAGGACCTGGTTCATCCTAGACTCCGAGGCAAACATGAAGCTGGGTATGCGTCAGTTCGAGCGGAGATGCATGGAGCCTCGGATGGCTCTTGGCCAGGGCATCACATCATCCGCTGGGTGTAGTCATGAGACCATTGCGCAACAGCCTTTGAATCATGCTCCAAGAGCACATGGCAGCAACAGGTTGTGCAGGATTTGATGTTGCATGTTCTTTTTCCGCGACCGTTGGAGACTGCTCGCATGTTGGGATGCGTGGTTGCCTGCCTCTTCGCATTCCTGGGACCAGCATGCCCGGCAATGAAACCTTGAGCAGCAAGTCAAGCGGCTCCACTCGGCCCGGAAGGCTTTTTCAGCCGAACCTTGCAGGATGTCCACCAGGCAGTTCATGCTACGCATTCGTTGAGCATTCGGGTGTGAACCCCCCTTTTTTATGCACTATTCAGCACGGATGTGTTGTTGCCGTTTTTTTGGAGATGCACCCTCGACGTTTGCAGCTTGCTCTTCAATTCACATTTGGATGCATTTAATACAGTGGTGATTCAGAGGTTTGCCCACTATGTGACGTGTTGTTTGACCATCAGTGACGTATTGCGGGCGCGCGGGAATGCTGACTCCAAGCCTTGAATGCGCAACGATGATTGAAGTCTCAAGCGCAATCTGTATGAAGCCGAGCAATTGATGCATTGAATGCGCTGACGATGGTTTCCATGAGCAGACATGTTGACACTTTTGGTTTGAGTGCGCGGCAGGGTGAGTGTTGTGCGTGCAAACCACCGTGCCCTTTTGCGGGGGGAAGGCTCCTGTTGGTTTTTACTTGCAAAGTATTTTTGAGCAAGCCTTGTTAGCCCTTTACTTTAGTGTTGGTGGGAATCTGGGAGGGAGAAGGGGAACCTTTTCTCACAGGGGTTTACGAATCGCCCAGTGACCGTGATCCAAAACCATGCGAACCGCCAGCGAATTTGCAAAGACTGTTGGTTTACTTTGGTAAAAAAGCTTGTTTGGCATCGTGCTACATATGCGCAACCTGTCAAGCGATGTGGAAAGGTTTGTAGCTTTCACGGGCTACGTTGTTTGACAAAAAGAACCTGTTTTCTGTATTCAGACCTTTCTTTTGGTACTAGTGCAGCGTGAAGCAACTCTAAGCGAAGCAAGCCGAAACCAACCCTAAGCCACTCCAACCAACCCTGAGCCAACCACAAGCCCACTCTACCAAAACCAACCCTCAACCCACCCTCAACCGACCCTAAACCCACCCTAAACCCCACCCGAAACCCCTCCCGAACCAAGCCAACCCCAAACCGACCCCAAACCGACCCTAAACCAACCCTAAGCCACTCGTGCCAGAAGGGCTGCCAGCCATTTTTTTGGATCGCTGGCCGTTGTCGAGCCTTGCCCTATCTGTTTGCCAACATGAGCCACAATCCAAACACGGGTAGATGAAGGTTAGTAGGGACAATCCCAACCATAAATAGCTTTGCCCAGCTTCTTAGTTCTTTACATGGCTCTTGGTAGACCATTTTAATAGCGGGTTTTCATTGTGTTTTGCATGGACGATATTTTGAAGGATCACTTTTCTGGAAGTACCCACTCTAAACCGACCCCAAACCAGCCCCGATCCAAGCCTAAGCCAATCCTAAAAGCACCCTCAACCACGTTAAGCCGACCCTAAACCGACCCTAAAACCACACTAAACCAACCCTACAACCACCCCCAAACCAACCCTGGGCCAATCCTAAACCCTAACCCAGGGGTTGCTTCGAAAAGGAAGCTTACGGTGCAGAAAGGCTGGAACAAGACCACAAGACAGGAAAAACAGGTGGCAAGGTGAAAAAAGAGTGCCACGAGATGAAGAAATAAGTGACCAGGCGTGACACAAGGTTTAGGAAAAGACGTCCAAGGTGGCCAAAAAAGCGTCAAGGTTCAAAACACTTAAGCCTTCCCCGTTGCGAGTGTGCGCTGACGACTCATGTTGCTCAGGATATCGGCTTCCGCGGCAACATTCCCGCTCTTTGGAGCCTTGCATTGAATCGCAGTGGCTGGGGGCCCAATTGTAGCTCTTTCATCATGGAGTCCCTATGATGGTGTTGCTTGTGCGCGTTCGCTTGGCGTTCGTCCGAGAGGCAGCTGAGGGTTTCCGCTGACAGCATGTTGACCTAGTTGCAGTTCCCTGTGATGTTTGCACAATTCTTCATATTGATGTTCTGCTTCGTTGTGGCTGTTTGGTTCTTGTTCTGCAGTGTCAGGAAGTACATGGACAAGAGGAACACTGGTGTAGTGGCTCGGCGCTGATCAGGCTTCAAGAACGAGGTGTTCGGAGCACCCCCGAGTCTCCCGAGACTCCCGGAACTCCCTGCGGGACAAAAAACACGTGCTGAAGGTGGCCCAAAATGTGTAAATGTGCATATCTGATTGTTTGCGAGGCACTATCGGGCGTTCGTGCTATGAAGGAATGGTATTGGAGGATGTTCACGTTGGGTGACTACTCAGAGCTGTACATGTTTGCAAAGAACTCGTTGCGCTAATTGCAGAGAGTAAGCTTATTGAATAGTTAGCTGAAGTCGCCATGTTACCAGCAAATCGCAGATGCATTTCGCTTGTCGGCGGGCAAGAAACTCGCTACATTAAGGGAGGTGTTTATGGTGTGACACGCCTGCGTTTCACGTTGCGTTCAATCACATACACCATCAGCACTGCAGCACTGGTCACTCAGAGTGCTCCTGATGGACTCCTGATATTAGCCCGTTGCCGTTGCAGCATGTCCATGTGTGTGCCATTGTACGATGTTTTTTGTTTAAAGAGCAAAAACAGGGAAAACAAAAGAAGGGACAAAAAACAGGCACAGGAAGAAACATGTTGTGGGCAGTTGAAAGGCACCAGACTTGAACCCAAGTCAAGTTTTCACTCGACACCTGATATTCCCCTTGTTCACCACAAATCCCAAAAACATGTTTGGGCCAAGACCGGGTACAGGTGGTCCGGCTTGGGTCTTTGTCCAGCCCCTTTGATAATTCTGATTGTTGTCTCTTGCAGCTGTCACACCCACAGCTTGAATGAAACGCCACAGGTCATTCGGGATGCGATGGCACAGGCATTATCCTTCACCTTTGGTGTCTTGCAATGCGAGCTGCTACAAGTATCAGCGCAAAGCATATTTATTTGCGATGCGCTTTTCTGCTACAGTGGTTCGTGGTACAATGCAAAGAACATCAATGCGTGCTGTGTTTTTTACGAGTTGCAAGGAACAGCACGTACAGCTAGCATTGTTTGCATTTACTACACCCGTGGCCGGTTCTTAAGCACGCTCTGTAGGCATGTGTTTTTACACCGCCCGGGGTTGAGTGGTCAATACATGCGGCTTGGACAGCGGCGATATGAAGCCACCTGCTGGGCTTGCATGACTGGTGGTACGGAGCATGTGTGTTATCTCCATGCTGACCACAGGCTCCATTTAGAACATTCCACCCTTGCAACTCAGTAACTCGAGACCTGCCCCGAATTCAATCGAGCCATAGAACATCAGCATTGTGTGGCCTCAAACCAACACAAACATCATGCGGTTCATTATATCAAGGCATATATTATGTGAAACGTGATAATGCAACACGTATTTATATTTCAGAGAGGGACATCAAACAACTCCGCGCGATTTGAAAGCAAACACATCATACCCTTATACAATCCACCCACAGACTTGTTTTAACGAATTGAATCCGTGCTTAGAAATGACATCAAAAGAAACCAGCAAGCGATGTACTCTACCCAAAACAGCCGCAAAACGAATGCGAGCTTAAAATGACCGTCAGCAGCAGCAAACTCTTTGTAAACCCAAAACAACCCGCAGATTCCGTGGGGATGGCTGGAAGGTGAGTTTGCTGGATCTTCACAGCGTCACTGCCATGGAGCTGGCACGCTTCAAGCTCCTGATCCGGGAGCGCTTCAGGCCTCGGATCGATCCGGCCCCAAGGGAGGGGGATCGGGGGATCCGGGTCGGTGTTCGTGTGCCGCCGTGGTGGTTTTGCTTTTGATGTACCTTTAAACCAACCTTAAATTGGGGGGGGGTACCTGAACCCTCAAACTATCCACGAACATGGGATATTGCCCCACATTCTGGGGTGACCTCCCTTTTTGATGGGTTTGAGGGTGCGCGTATCCTCCAAAACACCCACACCGGCACACCCACACGTAGACCATTTGGACACGCCCCCAGGGACCATTTACGTATGTGTCAAAATAGGGGGAATCCCAAAAATCCCGAGGAGCCCCAAGACCCTAAATATGAGGGCCTTGAACCTCCAAAGGCCTCGCTATTTGAGGTCTTGGGCTCCTAACACGGTTGTCAACCTGAAACCACAAAGTATCCTCAAAAGTGGTCAAGGTTTCCAGGCTACACCCTAAAATCCCCCAAGAAACATGTGTCCAAAAACTTCACACCGGGTCTCCTCAAGCCCTCCACCTCCACCCCACCTCGGTCGAATTTGTTTTTCTTCCGCGAGGGACGCCTCCGCGGAAGCCTTCCGCTTCTTGGACGACAACCGCAGCGGCCGCGTGAACCGGGTGACCTTCGCGGCGCGGCTGCAGACCTTGCGCTACGCCGGCCGCCCGGCGTGGCATATTCGTTCGGGCGTGGGGCGTTGGGGCGTTGGGAGAGCGGGCGTTTTCCCAAAAACGGGGTGGAGCATTGCCCGGGTTTAACAGGCGCAGCCAAAATGCTGCAACACTGAGAGAAAACAGCATTGCAGGGGATGGGGTGTGTTACTTCAGTAGATATCGCAGATCTGTTTTTTGGAAGGCAATACGTAGAGAGGAGAACAGGGCTTCCTTTTTCAACACGCGCAACTTGTTGACAAGTATCCTGCTGCGGGCGCCCTCCATTCTGCAGCCCCATCATGTCAACGTCC